ACATGAAACAGCTTCAGTTTGATTTCCTGTGGCTTTAATAAGAATTCCCCCCCCCCCCAATCTCACATGTGTTAATTAGCTGTTCAAGGTAGGGATGTCAGTTAACTACTGTTTGGTTAATAATGACTCTGTATTTCCTACACTTTGGTTTCCCCTGAGTCACTGTTTATAATTCTCCTCCTTTATCTACCTTGTATAATACTTCATCCATCTGATGATCTGATGATGTGAAGTGAGTCCATGAAATTTTATGCCAGTCAATCACAGACTTAAGCAAATATCTCTCTTGATTCTTTTAGGTGCCAGAGGAATGTTTTCGATGTGGAACATCAGATGAGATGCTTCCATCAGTTTTGAAATCTGACTTTTCCTATTGTACACATATAGAAAAATCGAAATTTCCCTGAGATGGAAAAATGAAATATACCGAATCCTATTAATCTTGTCTAGAGTTGGATCTACTGACTCAATTAAATTTATATAGGTATCCACTTACTATTGAAGACCTAAGTCGATGGGCTTATTGTACTTGGAATTAGGTATCAGAATTCAATCCACATTTAAAACCAGTATTTTAGCCCTTTCTTGGATCAGGCACAAGGCAATAACATCAATAAGGGAGGGGGAACACGTACCATCAGAATTCAGTACAAGATCATGTAAGATAATAACAAAGGCACTGCTCTGAGGATGTAAATCTTTGACTATTTCACCCTTGCATGCAAGGATAAATAATTACAGTAGTTTTCTCCTTGCTGTATGAGAAAATGAATCTTCCTCCAAAAATTCTTCTTATATTTGAATGTCCCCAAAAGTTGTTGCCATTGTTGTCATCGTTATTATTGTATACAGAAATACATGTTGGGGTATTGTGCAACCTCTTTACATTTTCTTTTCAGAAAACCCATTTTTGTACCCAAAATAAGGTATGCATGGGAGCGGAGGGGGCATTCCCCATTTATTTCTCCTCACAGTAATTTCTCTGCAACATTAAGTAAAATTCTTGCTGGTTTGCTGTTCTTCTTAATGGGGTTTCCTGACTTTTAGAAAAAAAATGTTTTTTTAAACCTGGGAAGAAATGATTTCAACTGTTCTTGCCACCCTACACTCATCTCATCTACTGCTAAGGTGGCTGAATGTAAATCTAGATTTCTATGGAGTGTCTGCCCATTTTGGCTCTGAAACTACTATAGCCAGAATCTACATATGAAAACCACATTAATTACAATATTGCACTGTGACTCCTGCCTCTCCTCCATCTCCATTTACCAAGAGGCAGCCACTGTGATTCAAGGGGGCACTGACACTCAGGAAGCAGCTAACGGATATTCCCATCCCTTCTTATGAACACTTGCAAATATGACAGGTACAAGCAGGACCCCTGTAACGATTCTTTCTCATGCCAAAGGACACTCATGTGAGTGGGTGGGAGGGAACATGGGTCAACAGCTGTGATAGCAACTGAGGAACAGATACTCATCAATTGCAAGAACTGGAGCCCAGGAAATAGGGCAGCACAACCTTAAGTTAGGGGCTGTGCAGGCTACATTTGTAACGGCCATAGAAAATTCTGGTCCATGTCTCAAGCAAACATATATGTTTCTATAATATTAGTTAAAATCAGTATCAGGATATCTTCAAACATTACTCTTTTCAATCCTTTTTTTAAAAAAGTCACAACCACTCCTCCTGTTCCAGTATGTTTAATGACCTTGTTGTGCTGAAATACAAAGGCTAACCCTTGATCATAAAAACAAACTGAAGGCTTTTCTGGGGTGTCTTCTCAGTGAGAGCATTAACCTGGGGCCTCATCCCATGTGCAACACTTTAAAAATGCAAGTTTATACCAGACTGTGTCATTGAAAGATGATAAATAGCAATATATTGAAATACAGTCAGTACCAAATGTTCTGGTTTCAAACAGTACTTAAGACTACAACCCTAAACATACTTGCTAGTTCTTAGAAGCCTAAGCTAATGAGTGGTATTTCTTTACAAGAGCACATCTGGCATGATGATATGGTAACCAAGGGATTTATTATTTTCTATTGGCTTGCTATCCTCAGTAAAGTTCAGTGCCCTCACAAGGTGTACTGATTTAGATCAGGACAGTAAAATAACAAAATATACGGCAAAAAGAAGCCACATAAGGAACCATTAAAAGGAGCAAAAACTATATATCTATGCACGTGCTATCTTGGTGCTTTCAGGACTGCTGCCGGAAACAGGATACTAGAGTAGATAGTTCTTGTGGGGAAGAGGTATTCATATCTATATCTAACATGCAGCTGGACTGAACAAACCAGTAGTCTTCACTTGGTAGGTGCTGCACCAAACCGATGGAGCAGTACCATGGACATATTTTGGAAATTGACACAAAGTGAAAGATATGCAGCAAAGATATAGTATAGCTGTTGTGTTTCAAAAAGAAATCAGAAGTCAAAGTCTCACTGCAAGTTGAATTTAATGTAAATGACACTGGGACCCCTTCTATGCTGCCATATAAATTCCAGATTATCAGCTTTTAACTGGATTATATGGCATTGTAGACTCATATAATCCAGTTCAAAGCAGATAATGTGGATTATATGGCAGTGTAGAAGGGGCCTGGGTTGAAGGATACTTAAAGGAACTATCCTGTTTGGATGGCCAACTTGACTAAGCATGGTTTCCTTACTAAAATAGTAACATTCTAAGATGGAAATATAAAACAAGCTTAAGAGTTGCTCCAGTAAGCATCATAACTAAAAACCGGAAACAGTTTTATAGGAATTCAAGATTGTTCTGCAAGAGAGAAAATAATTCCGTTTACCTACTCTACCTAATATAGTCCACTCATAAAATGTATGAAAAAGCCATTGTTTTTTTTGCTTTTCATCAGTTTTTCTTTTTCTTACTTAGAAAACAGAAAAAATTGCAATTCTGAGCAAAGAAATCATACTTTAATTCCTCCCCTCTCTTGCAATTCTGAAGTTTTTTAATTGTGCTTTCAAAAGTTCCAGATAAGCTTGAAGTTTCCAGCCATTCTGTTTACAACCGTCCTTAAATGAACTGGATTTTTTCATAATCCTCAATGTGTAGCCTTCCCAAAGCAACACTTCAGCTATAGAACTTGCTCACATATTAATAATAGAAAATGGAGTGTTCAGCAACAGAATTGAGCAATGGTATTGTCATCTATCAGAACATCAAAAAAATGGGGGCGGGGAGGACACACATTGTCCAGCACTATGTAGAGTGTATTTCTTAAAGAAATTCTGGAAGTCAGGGGAAAATCAATTGTGGCCACTAAATTAATTTTCAGTGTTTATCTCTTCTATCTGATTAATTATCTTATCTAGACTGAAGATTATGGCCACTTTCCAATTTTGAAAAGGGAAACATCTGTTTTGCCCTGTTTGAAATATTCAAGGTGAACATTAAAAAACAAAGTCAAGGGATTTTCCATTCAAACAAAATCAAGACATCAAGTCCTAGGAAACAAAATAGTCTGAAAACAGTTTCTTCAGCAGCATAGCAATAAAGTACTAAATGTACATGTTTACATTATTAAAAGAAAAATAAACACACATCAAATACAAAATCAGCATAATCTTTGGTACCAAATGTAAGGGCACCTGCTTATTCATGGTTTCATCTTCATTTGCCATGTGAATTAACAACCATATCTAAAAAAAGATTTTCCCGGAGAATTTAAACTGTAGTGAAAGGGCAAATGATATGGTCCAACTTCAACGGCTAGTCTCAACTAAAGACACTCAATGAATCAAAGAGTGTCAATGAATCACATGAGCGATTGATGCAATAAATCTGTTCTAGCTGGAACTAGCAATTCAGTTTAGATGGATGTTATTAACTCCTGTTGCAATTAACTTTCATCCAAACTACAAATTACCCCCATCATTTATTAAAACATGCTCTAATTGTTTATTTTTATTTTGAAGAAAATGCAGTTGCTAGAATGATATTTCCAACCTGGTTTGGAGGACTACATCAATATCTTGGGGAAAATTTATTTCCTCGTTTATGGACACAATGTACAACTACTTAAGTAGCCAGATTTAGAATTGGTTCACAATCTCTCCTGGAGTCCCATGCCTAGTTTTCTTTAAACCAAAGAAAGGGGGCACTGTTACATACGTTTAAAAAAAATGTCTGGGATCCTATAACAGGCAACGTATGTCCAGCACACAACCATGATACATTTCCTGATGCAATCGCCAACTCATCTGTTCTCTACTGTATTACCTTGATGAAATATATTATCCTGCATTTCTTTTGTTCTGGTCTATTGCTCAGAAAGATGAAGGGCCATCTGGAGCTAAAAGAGCAATGCAATATATAGCAATGCAATAGCCACTTGAAGCTTTGTCGGAGTTTCAGCTCAAAGGATGTGAGGATACTTTTTGCTTACTGATGCATGCTTTCCCCTTCTTTTGTCATTGAAAAATGTCATGATATTTATACTCTCAATGGTTAAGTGTGTCCTTTGAACCTAAACTGAACAGGAGCTGAGTAGGTCAGGCCATCTGGATTAATCCCCCTAATACACACGTAGAGCAACTTCTGTATTGGTGGAGAGCATTGACACAGAAATGGTCATGGGTGGGAGGTTGGGCTTAAGCAGAGAAGAGACAGGTTTTGCAAGATAGGGGTGGGGGGGGGGTACCCTCCAGACATGTTGGATTATAACATCCATCTCCTCAGCTTGTAGGGTTATGGTTCAGTGAGGATGATGGGAATTGCAGCCCAGCTCTGCTACAAGGTGTTAGGTAGGGCAAGGCATATGGGAAGTTCTAAGCCCTGATCTGCTTGGGTTATATTGTTCAAAAACTAATGTCCCCACACAGCATCTGTTAGATTATGCTTTCCCACCACAACATTTAGGTGTAAAGTGAATATCCGCACATCATCTTTGCCAGCACTACATTTTTCTGGCAATGGCTATTGCATCTCCAAGGGCTGCAGAAGCAAACGTGGCGACTGGCCCCATTTAGCTGCAAGTCATGGCATAGAGGCAGTTTTAGCTGTAAAGCATATGCCAAGCATAAGCTGAACAATAGCATACAACAAAGAATTTAAAATGCACTGGGGTTTCTCTTCAAAAAATAACATCTTCTAAGACCACTTCTTGAAGATTGCCTAAAAGGTTCATATTGTTCTTTTTTTCAAAATCCCTTAAAAGGTTTCCAGTACTCAAACAACATAAAATGAATGACAATTTCAAAATCAGGAGGGAGAGAGAGGGAAAGAGATTATAATACAAAGTCAGGCATTCTCCTGACTGAAGGTATTTTGCTTGATCTTTGCAATGTTTTTCACTGCTCTGCCAATCACACCTTGGTTTTTTCATGGCCAGAGGCATGCATTTTCATAAGGGCAGATCCCACCAGTTAGGTGTTTCTTTTTATGTTGTCCGATGCTTGCTGTGGCAAATGAGCAGCTCCTTTTAACAGGTGATGAATGCATCATTGGATCTTGTAAACACTACTGATTTTATACATTCAAGTTTTGTTTTCAGTGAAAGTGGCACTTACTCGAACCATTGCACTCAAAGATTTAGCACTTCAACAGGTGAAACGTTAGCTGGTAATGGGAGCTCTTCTGATGTATTTCCTTTTTCACCAATGGCTTGTTACAATGCACTGGGATATATCCAGTTTGAATACCCCTGTTTTTCCATGTAATCAAAATCACAAAGCCCATTTCCTTTACTTCTCTTTGTTCTTGACTTGTACATTATTGCTGTGCACATTTTCCCGTGGTCAATTTAAGAGCTCCCCTGTTATGTAACATGTTCAAAGTTTTAAACTCTAATGGCATCCTATGAGGGCTGGCATTAGAAAAGTATCGATACTTTAAGTCATCGTAATAATGATATTTGACCGTTTTTCCATTTATATCCCTTGGGAAGGGCCAAAATCCATAGAGGTGAATTTCATCGCAGAATCGTGTAGCAAGCGTGTACATGAGGAGTCCTGTGCTGGGTCGTTTGATGAAAACTTTGTTGGTTAGCCAATAACTGCAAGACAAGAGATAAAACAAACAAACAAATAGATTAGCATTTCATAATCTGGGAATATATCCTGAAATGTCAGTTTTCCCTGAATGGGATCAACTAAGAATATGCCACTTTAGATTGGCTACCTTATGGTTACTTGAAAAAGCATGTGCATTATCTCAATACATTGCATGCAATGGAGACAAAAAGGCAACACAATGGCAAAAAATTGTTGATTTCTTCAGGTGTTCTTGTTTGAAAAACAAAACTGAAATTTACACAGTCCAGGAATGATGTTTATAACTGTTCAAGTAACAACACCACACAATTTCTACATTATTGGTCATTGCAGAGAAGACTAAAGGCCTTGGAAAATTATTATTGGCCCTCCACATTTGCAGATTTGATTACGCTGGCCAACACACATTTTGGATCGTCAAATGTTAGCCCTGTTTTGGGGTATACTTGCCTTGCTGATTCTGTAAATGGTATCAGTTTTCCCCTATTGGCTCTAGTTTTTGAGATGCAGAAAATATGCCATCTAAAAGTCACCATCTGTTTACCCATAGAAAAATCATGGTAACCATATCTAACAAACTAGAGCTGATGCGGTCTATACAATGCCATTTTATGAATCACTATCCTAAATAACCTCAAAAACAGGCCTAAAAGCTAAGACACCAAGATTTTTTTTGTTGGGCTTTGTTATCAACTGATTTGATTTAAATGTTCTTTCTAAGAATCTCTATGGTTGGATCCAATAGAAGCTGACCACAGAGTCATGCTGGAAGACCTAGAGATTCCCCGAAAAATGTTCACACAGGTAAAAAGGGATTTAAAAAATGAGTTTTTTTCACTTTCACGGGGAATGTGGAGAACGGACTGGACAACTCTCATTATTCCACAGCACTGAGCCATGGCAGTTAAAGTGGTGTCAAATGGCATTAATTCTATAGCGTAGCTACACCAAAGCAATTTCAATCTGCCTCACTTGCATTTTATTTGAAAAGGCATCAGGATGGCAGAAGTGGGAGCCAGTCGTTCCATACCTCTTCCAAGGGCCACGGACAGGAAGTACTGCTTGAATAAACACCCAGTCCTACGCGTGTTTTATCTTTTTATTAGCTACTATGCATGTGGTTCCCAACCCAGGTTCAGCCAAGCTAAATAGCAAGAATGAATTTGGTTTTGGTGCTTCCTTAAAAGCAGTCAACCAAACCCTGAACTCAAACAGGTTTGAAGCCTTGGGTGGAAAGTAATGTTCTTCATTGCAAAAACTTTCCCCCTTCAAACTGCAATTTGTCTTGACTGGAAAAAGGTATGTCTTTCCAAATTTATTTACTAATTGTATTGATATCACACCTTTCCCTTTAAAAGCTCATAGTCACCTTGTACCCATGCAATTTCCAGCCCAGGGTGCAGAAACATATTAGTGGAGCATGAAGACCTTATCAAATAGGAGTATCGATTTTACTAATATCATGCCACATGCCTTCACTGCTTTTCAGCAAAACCACCCTGAATATAGCAACATCATAAATCTCTATTGCTGGGTTTAGCTTTGGATGTCACTAACAACATTAGCCAGGATTTTCCCTTCTTTTTGCCTTTCAAAATTTACATTAGTTGTGAGTAGACCTTCTAAGAAGCCACTATAGAAGCAAGAGCAACAGAAGCAGTGGAGTGTTCAAACGAGTATGCAAAACATTTGCTAATTTTAGATATATTTTCTCCTGCCTTAGGGAGGAAGAAAGAGAATTCTAACTGGCAGTAATTCCTTCAGGAGATAATTAAGGACCACTTTCTGGGTGTACACTGAATAATCCTAAATTGAATGTATTCTGCAAACACACTGAGCTGAAAGACTTGTCTCAAAGAACTTTGATTCCCTGCTTTTTTCCTCGAGCTTTCTGCTGTTTCCTAATTTCAGTCAGAAACTGTGTTGGTGTTGCTGCTAAAAACCACAGTATATAAAACACATTACATATCTCAGTTCCAAAGTTTATACTGCCTTGAATCAGCTGGTAATTATTCTAGGCCTTATTAGTTTGATTTGAAATAGATTAATCTAATTGCAGGAATACCAAGAATTAATAATTCACAGATGCATATGTTGTTGTTGTTCATTTGTTCAGTCATCTCCGACTCTTCGTGACCTCATGGACCAGCCCACGCCAGAGCTTCCTGTCGGCCGTCACCACCCCCAGCTCCTTCAAGGTCATTCCAGTCACTTCAAGGATGCCATCCATCCACTTGCCCTTGGTCGGCCCCTCTTCCTTTTACCTTACAGATGCATATATTTGATACATTTCTGATTGCTGTTGAAACACCGCAGGTACTAGAAGGATAAATCACTGGGATTCACAGATCAAACAGTTTGGAGGGAATGCCTGCTGATCATCATATATATCTGTGCTTCAAGCATGATTATGTTCCTTCTTAGGCTGACATGAACAAAACAGTGATTGTTGAAACAAGAACTGTGTGATGCACAGTAGCATCAAGCCATTATTAATTGCTAATGGGACAGCACTTGTATTTGACCCCAAGCAGTAATTGAAGCTCCTATTTTAAGGTTATGATGCAAAGAGACCAGCCACGTGTGAATCTGGACTGTGCCTCAAATTCCCAAGGTAAGGTGGTATGGGAAAAGGTCACAGTCACCAACAAGAATACAGACTATTTGTTTTCATCTTGATATAAAATTGATATAAGATAGACATTCTGGGGGTCAGCGAACTGAAATGGACTGGAATGGGCCACTTCACATCAGATGACCACCAGATCTACTACTGCGGACAAGAGGAACATCGAAGAAATGGAGTAGCCTTCATAATTAATAAGAAATTCGCTAAAGCGGTGCTTGGATACAACCCAAAAAATGACAGAATGATCTCAATTCGAGTGCAAGGAAAGCCTTTCAACATTACAGTGATCCAAATATATGCCCCAACCACAGCTGCTGAAGAAGCAGAAGTAGAGCAGTTCTATGAGGATCTGCAGGACCTACTGGATAATACACCAAAAAGAGACATTATTTTCATTACAGGAGACTGGAATGCCAAGGTGGGAAGTCAAATGACAACTGGGATCACAGGCAAGCATGGTCTGGGAGAACAAAATGAAGCGGGACGCAGGCTGATAGAATTTTGCCAGTAAAACTCGTTGTGTATAACAAACACTCTCTTCCAACAACCTAAAAGACGGCTTTATACATGGACCTCACCAGATGGTCAACACCGAAATCAGATTGACTACATCCTTTGCAGCCAAAGGTGGCAGACATCCATCCAGTCGGTGAAAACAAGACCTGGGGCTGACTGTAGCTCAGGTCACGAACTTCTTATTGCCAAATTTAGAATAAAACTAAAGAGATCAGGGAAAATACACAGACCAGTTAGATATGATCTCGCTAACATTCCTAGCGAATATACAGTGGAAGTGAAGAACAGATTTGAAGGACTAGATTTAGTAAACAGAGTCCCAGAGGAACTATGGACAGAAGTCCGCGACATTGTTCAGGAGACGGCAACAAAGTACGTTCCAAAGAAAAAGAAAACCAAGAAGGCAAAATGGTTGTCTGCTGAGACACTGGAAGTAGCCCAAGAAAGGAGGAAAGCAAAAGGAAACAGTGATAAGGGGAGATATGCCCAGTTAAATGCGCAATTCCAGAGGTTAGCCAGAAGAGATAAGGAACTATTTTTAAATAAGCAATGCATGGAAGTGGAAGAAGACAACAGAATAGGAAGGACAAGAGACCTTTTCCAGAAAAATAGAAACATTGGAGGTAAATTTCAGGCAAAAATTGGTATGATAAGAAACAAAGATGGCAGGGACCTAACAGAAGCTGAAGAGATCAAGAGAAGGTGGCGAGACTATACAGAAGATCTGTATAGGAAGGATAATAATATCGAGGATAGTTTTGACGGTGTGGTGAATGAATTAGAACCAGACATCCTGAGGAGTGAGGTTGAATGGGCCTTAAGAAGCATTGCTAACAACAAGGCATCAGGAGACGACGGGATCCCAGCTGAACTGTTTAAAATCTTAAAAGATGATGCTGTCAAGGTGATGCATGCCATATGCCAGCAAATATGGAAAACACAAGAATGGCCATCAGACTGGAAAAAATCAACTTATATCCCATACCAAAAAAGGGAAATGCGAAAGACTGCTCCAACTTCCATACGTGGCCCTTATTTCTCATGCCAGTAAGGTAATGCTCAAGATCCTGCAAGGAAGACTCCAGCAATACATGGAGCGAGAGTTGCCAGATGTTCAAGCTGGGTTTAGAAAAGGCAGAGGAACGAGAGACCAAATTACCAATATCTGGTGGATAATGGAGAAAGGCAGGGAGTTTCAGAAAAACATCTATTTCTGCTTCATTGACTATTCTAAAGCCTTTGACTGTGTGGATCATAATAAATTGTGGCAAGCTCTTAGTGGGATGGGCATCCCAAGCCACCTTGTCTCTCTCCTGAGGAGTCTGTACAAGGACCAAGTAGCAACAGTAAGAACTGACTACGGAACAACAGACTGGTTCAAGATTGGGAAAGGCGTACGGCAAGGCTGCATCCTCTCACCCAACCTTTTTAACTTGTATGCAGAACACATCATGCAATGTGCGGAGCTAGATGAATGCAAAGCTGGGTGAAAATTGCTGGAAGAAACATTAACAACCTCAGATATGCAGATGACACCACTCTGATGGCCGAAAGCGAGGAGGAGCTGAGGAGCCTTCTAATCAAGGTGAAAGAAGAAAGCGCAAAAGCCGGGTTGCAGCTAAACATAAAAAAACCAAGATTATGGCAACAAGAATGATTGACAACTGGAAAATAGAGGGAGAAACCGTGGAGGCCGTGACAGACTTTGTATTTCTAGGTGCAAAGATTACTGCAGATGCAGACTGTAGCCAGGAAATCAGAAGACGCTTACTTCTTGGGAGGAGAGCAAATGTCCAGTCTCGATAAAATAGTAAAGAGTAGAGACATCAGACTGGCAACAAAGATCCGCCTAGTCAA